TCTCTCTCTCTCTCTCTCTCTCTCTCTCTCTCTCTCTCTCTCTCTCTCTCTCTCTCCTGGTCCCAGAGAGCAAACTCAGTTTTTTGCACTTGCCAGGCAGATCTTTGCACTGCTCAGCTATCTCCCAGCCCATCAAATTTTTGATTCTCTCATCTCCCTCTTCCAGAGTGCTGGGATTACAGGTGCATACCACCATGCCCAGCTTCAAAAATTCCCTTTGAATGTCAAGTCCCAGGCAAATCATTAGACACAGAAAAAAGATTAAAGATTGCCTCAGGTGGTGTGGTTGGGAACGATGGGGAATAACTACCATTGAACTAATTTTCTTTGTGTGGTAAAAATGTTCTAGTATTAGTGACACACCTAACGCATGCCTATAACTGTAGGACTCTGAGAGACTTAGGCAGGAGGATCACAAGTTCAAGCCCACCCTAGGCAACTTAAACATTTAGGGAGATTCTTTTCAAATTAAGAAATTTTTTTTTTGTATTTTTTTTAGGGAAGGGTCTACAGGGTATTCAGGGTCTCACAACTAGATTGGACTCATAGTGATTTTCCTGTTTACAGCCTCCCAAGTGCTGGGATTACAGGTGTGCGCCACCATGCCCAGTCTCATTGGCCATCTGATCCAACCCTAGGGGTGGGGCCGGCATGGCAGGCCTGGGGATCAAACCCCCGGCCCCTGCATCTACTTGCAGGCGCTTTAATCCACTGAGCTATTTGGCCGGCCCTAAAAAAATAAGGGGCTGGGAATGAAGATCAGTGCAAAGGCCCTGGGTTCAATCTCAAATACTACACAAAACTAAAAGCTCTGGAATTAAGCTGACTACTGCGGCACATACCTGTAATTCTAGCACTTGGGAGGCTGAAGCAGGAGGCAAAGCCTACCTTCAACTCAGAAGAAGGAAAGCAATTTCTGGAGGCATCACTTTTTCTTCCAGCACCGAGGACTGAATCCAAAGCCTCACACCCATGTACATTACTGCCCCCTCACTCCCCACCCCCACCCCACCCCCCTTTTAAAAAAATTTTGACACAATCTTGCTAAACTGCTAAATTGCCCAGGCTGGGCTTGAACTTGCAGTTCTTGTGCTTCAGCCTTCTGGAGAACTGGGATTACAGATGTGCACCACCAGGCCTGCCTAATAAGACAGGGATAAACCTTTATCTCACAATGTTATAAGGAATGGGTGGGATGGAGAATAATCGTGGCATGTGGTGGCACATCATAAATTATAGTCTGTTTTAGATTTACTGATTGATTGATTGACTGATTGCAAAGGATATTACAAGATAATTCAGGCTGACCTTGAACTCACAATATAGCCCAGATTAGCCTAAACTCCTGAGATCCTCCTTCCTCATCCTCCTCAGTGCTAAAATCACAGGCATGTGCCACTAAGCCAGTTTGATTTTGGGGTAGGTGGGTACCAGAAATCAGGACCCCGCCCTTTCCAGGAAGTTGCTGTGACACTAAGCTACATCCTTGGCCTCCCAGCTTGTTTTCTTTTTCTTTTTCTTTTTAGAATTTTATTTATCTATGTGTGTATGTGGCCAGCTCAGCCCACCAGGAGGCGGGGCTGGCTGGCATGTGGTGCTGGGGGATTGAACCACGGTCCCTGTGCTTTGCTAAGCTTGTTCTAAGTAGGTGCTTTAGACCACTGGGCCATCTCACCAGCCAGAATTACTTGTTGTTGTTGTTGTTTTTTTTTTGGCAGAACTGGGGCTTGAACTCAGGCCCTTGTGCTTATTCTACTGAGCCATCTCCCTGGCCCCCCAGCTTGTTTTCTGAGATGAGAACTTGCTTTGTGTCCCAGGCTGACCTCAGACTCAGAAGCCTCATGCATGCCTCAGCCTCTTGAGGACTTAGATTTAGGTGTGCCTGGGTATACGTATATTTTATTTATTCGTTTGTTTATTTTGAGGCAGGTTCTCACTATGTAGTTCAGGCTGGCTTGAACTAACTATGTTCTGCAGGCTGGCCTCAACTCTTGCCTCAGTCTCCTGAGTGTTGGGATTATGGGTTTGCACCATCATACGGAACAGTTATATATTAATTTTTGAGCACTTCAGAACCAATGTGAGTGACGACAGGCAAAATGGAGCACCTCTGGCAGCAGGCAGACCAGCTGCATGTAAATGCAATATACCCCGGTGACTTTCTATCTTGTACTGCTCTGAGCACATGAAGAGCCTTCAAGTTTTGGGGACCTGATGAACATTAATTGAACTGCAAAGAGATCAAAGCTTCCCTGATGTTCTTTGTTTAGTTTGGTGGGAGAAGGTGGAAGGGGCTACTTTGAAAGCTACTGTTTTTTAAATCCTTTTCCCAGCAGAGTTCATACCCCTCTAAAGTCACATGAGAGGGGGAAATACTGAGGTCCAGAAAGGAGGCCTGGCCATGCAAGAGGTACCTGAATGTCTTTCTTTCCTCAGTAATTCCAGAATAGAGAATGGGTTCCCACCCCACCCCACTATCCACGTTTTTGTTGTTTTTCTGTACTGGTGATTGAGCTCAGAACCTTCCCACTGAACTACATCTCCAATCCCTTTTGGAGAGAGGGGCTCACAAAGTTACTAAATTGCTCAAGCCTAGCTCAAACTCACCATCCTCCTGTCTCAGATTCTTAGGAATGCTGAGATTATAGGTCTGCACTTCCACACCTGGCAGCAACCTAATTTCTGAGTCTGTTTCCTTCATGTAAAAGCAATAGTTGCACCATCTTTTAATGCTTGCCTTTCTTGGGGGTGCTGGGAATGGAAATCAGGTGCTTGTACTTGTCAGTCAGGTGCTGTGTCACTGAGCTATATCCTCAGCCCAATGCTTGCCAATTTATAAGAATAATTATTACTAAAGTGCCCAGCACATAGGCAGTATTTGCCATTTGTTCTCTATTTTAGTGCCAAAGAAGGGGGAAAGAAAAAGTTATTTTTAGTAGAATTTGTCATGTTTTTAAATTTTTTTATTTTGGCCAGACATGGTGGCACATGCCTGTAATCCCAACTCCTGGGAGTTGTGAGATCCGCCTGGGCTACAAGGCCATCCTGAACTGCATAGCTAGACCCTGTCTCAAATGACCAAAAAAAAAAAAAAAAGGTAAAAATTTTTTCATTAATAGCACACAATGATCACATTCATTGTAGGGAGTGGGTACATGTACATAATACATTTTAATTCTTTTTTTTTTCTAATAGGGGTTGAGATAGGGTCTCTCTATATAGTTCAGATGACCTTGAACTAAGTATGTAGTCCAGGCTGGCCTTGAACTCTCAGCGAGCCTCCTGTTTCACCTTTCTGAACGTTGGAACAACAGGCATGGGCCACCATATTCGGCACATTTTAATTATTTATCTTTCGCTTTCCACCCCTCCTTTTTCGTCTAATTTTTTGCTGTTGTTGCTGTCACACCTATTTTGTGGTGAGACTCTCCCCTGAGGCGGACTCGAACTCCTACAAGGTCCTTTGCTAGCCTCTGCCGGTTTACTTTCCCTAATCCACCCAAGGACTCTACAACAGGCATCCAGAGGTTGGGCGGGGGGCGGAGCCGACACATTTGTCCCAATCGCGCTACCGTAGTCCGCGGGTGTCAGTTTAAAGCCTTTCCCAGCAGGCGCGAGCGCTGTGGTGGGCGTGGTTTTAGCGCCCCGCCTCTGGCACGCCCCTTGCGCCGTGCGTGCGTCCGACCCCCGCGCTCTCGGAGCGGCCCGCGAGCTCGTACCGGCTTCTCTGCAACCTCAGCCTGAGCGCCGCCATCGCCGTCATGCTGGGCGCCGGTCTCCGCCGCTGTGCGGTAGCAGCCGCAGCCCGTGCTATGCCCCGCGGCTTCCTACACCCCGCTGCGGCTCCCAGCCCCGTCGCCGGTAGGGTCCAGCCAGCGCCCGCGTGTCCTTGCCGTGACCCGGCTCCACCGTCACTCTAGGGCAGGCTGCCGGCGGCCTAACTCGCGCCAGGCGGGCGGGTGGCGGGGTCTGGGTCCCCGCATCTTGAGGACCTGGGGGCGTAGTGCTGCCTCGGCCTTCGGGCCTTGACCGCGACCCTGCGCCGACCCCTAGCCACCTGACCGTGGCGCCCTGGCGAAGGTGACATTGAGCGCCCGCCACCCCCCTCCTGCTTATGGAGGACGCTTGCGCTTCCGTGTGGGGCGCAGGACAGTAACCAGGCAGGCCCCCGTTAGCTCTGTGTCACTTTCACAGCTGGGGTAGTCGTAGGGGCGGTTGAAACGCGTCCTGATTCCTCCACGTTTAAAATGGCTCGATGTGTGTGGCTGTGTCCTGGGGTCTGGAAGGTAGCCTGATGTTGGCGGGTATTGTGGTGACCACGTTACTGTGGCGAAGATCGTGTGCCGCACACCCAGGAGTCCTCGGGTTTACAGTTAGGGAGAAAAGCTTTGTGTTCCCCCCCCCCCCATTCAGATTAGAGGCCTGGTGGAGGCGAAGTGTTAGAAATTCCAGTCTCTTATTCTCCCTTCCTCTTGTGTGTTCTGGGAGGTTTTGCGTCCTGTTCTGTACTTTGAATCAGTCACTGCGCTTGGTTTGGCCCATGGTGGTAGTGTATGCTACATTATGAAACCTAGGTTCTGTGGATGCATATTTTAACGTAAACTCAAAAAGGAACAACGATGTTTGCTGGACTATGACTATTAGTTTTAGTTAGGTGCTTTGGAGCTGGAAGACTATTTTTTGCTTCACTTAATTTTTTTTTTAGCTTCATTTAATTTGGACTTTATGTTTCATATTGTATCAGAGAACCAACCATGAGGCTGAGTGGACTTTAGAGACTGTGGAGATTGTCTTTTGAACTGGGGATTGAACTCATGCCCTTGTGCTTGCCAGGCAAGCGCTTATTCTACTGAGCTATCTCCCTGGCGCCAAAAGATTGTCTTATATAGAAGAGAACACAGGCCCACCTTTCCAACTGATTTCCTTATTAGTGGCAGAACTATTTTCTGCTTCTTAGCTATAATTGTCAGGTTTGACTCAGATTCCCAAGCTGAGTGTAATGGTACACAGTTGTAATCCCAGCACTCTGAGAGGCTGTGAAAGGGAGACCCTAAATTGGAACCCAGTCTTTGTGACGTTGTGAGACCATGTCTCAAAATAAAAAATAAAAAAAAGGGATGGTGATATAGTTGGTTGCAAAGGCCCTGGGTTCAATTCTCAGTACTGCCAGGGGAAAAAAATCTAAAGAAAAAAATTTTCGTATGTTTTATAGCTGATTTGAAGAATGCCAGAAGTAGTTCGCAAAAAGCAAAGTGTAGAGTAAGAAGGTTCTTTATTTGGGCATTTATTTTTTAAACATCCTATGTATTCTGAGTAAAATTAAACTAAAAAGGTTTTGAGGGCTCACATGCTTAATTATTTGCCACAAGGAGGCAGTATAGATTACAAGTATCGTTACGAGTAGCATCGGTTAATTTTTGTCTCGTGTCCTTGGGTGATTTACTTAACCTTAAGCCTTAGTTGTCTCTAAAATCAGGTCAATTTTAGGTAGTCATGATGTTTAAATGAAATAATATATTTTTTGACATAAATCTAATTCTGGTCATCTTGCTGGTACAAATGCTTAAATATAGCCATGCTGGGGCTGGGGAGAAGGCTTAGTAGAATAAGTGCTTGCCTGACAAGCACAAAGGCCTGAGTTCAATCCCCGGTTCTGGGGGGGGGGAAATATATATATATATATGGCCGTGCCTTTAATAATGAAATAAGGTGCAATAAATGCAGTTATTTAGGCAGTATTTTCCTGTGAACATCATAGAGCGAATTCTAGATACACAAATCTAGCCAATGTAGTCTGTGCCATACTTAGACTGTGTAGTATATTCTGTTTCACGTGTGTTCCATCATTTATCTTCTTTATGCAGCCCATAAACTGCACATACTTGCTTGTATATTAAAGATTCAGATTTGTTACGCATTTTTTGCAAGAGAAAGTGGAAAGGGGCCCTGCAAGATAGCTCAGTGGACTAAGCACAGGGACTGGGATTCGATCCCTAGCACTACATGCTACGCTGGCCTTGTCCCCGGGTGTGCTGAGCCAGCGACCAAGACTGGGCATGGTGGTGCACACCTGTGTTCCCAGCGCTGGGGAGCCTGAAAACAGGATCACTGAGTCTTGAGTGTAGTGAGACTCTGTATTAAATACATTAAAAAAAAAAAAAAAAGCCAAAAGAATTAAATTTCTTGGATGAGGCTAACTAGGAACAAAAGAGAATGTGTGAGAGATCAGCCAGGGGTAGTGGAGCGCTCCTGTAATCCCAGCACTTCAGAAGCTAAGGCAGGAGGATTGCCATGAGTTTGAGGGCAGCCGCCTAGCCTACATAGTGAATTCAAATCCAGCCTTAAACTATGATAGGAGACCCTGTCTCCAGAAAAAGCCATCTGATTTAAATAGGACTTGTAACAACGCTATCTGGATGCTAACAAGTATTGTTGTTGTTATTTATTTATTTATTTATTTTGGGATTGAACTCAGGCCTTTGTGCTTGCCAGGCAAGCGCTTATTCTACTGAGCTATCTTCCCAGCCCCAAAAAGTATTGTTATTAATAGCTTTTTAGAAATGTTCCCATTTTTCACAGTTGCTTACTTTTTCTTCCTCAGGAACCTCATAGTTGTATAAAAGCATTGAGTAATTATTTTCCAAAATAGTTGGCCTTCCATGCCTCCAAACTAGCTGGACATGCTGTACGTCAGTGAGATGGAGTGTGGGGGATGTGCCTGGTTTCCCCAGAGAAGAAAATGATGCCGGGTATGATGGCGCAAGCCTGTAATCCCAATTACTGGATAGGCTGAGGATTGCAAGGTGGATACCACTCTGGGGAATTCAGCATGACCCTGACTCAAAATAAAAAGTGCTGGGATATAATTCAATGCAGAAGCACTTGCCTAATGTGTTTGAGACCTGAGTTTGACTCCCAATGTAGAAAGAAAAGTGTTTTTTGTGTTTTGTTTTGTTTTAATAATGAGGTTGTAACTTGGCTGTCAGGAAAAAGGTGATCAAGATCATGATCTGTTTGGTCTTTTTAAAAATTTTATTTTAAGCTGTGCAGTTCAGGATGACCTTTAATTCAACTGCGTTAGCCTAAGCTACCCTCCTGCCTCAGCCTCCTGCGTGCTGAGATTACAGGCACCACACCCAGCCCAATCTGTTTGATTTAAATTTTAGTTTCTGGTCTTTTTTTATTAGGAGACAAAGCTAATATCATCTAGTCAAATATGTGTCCAGAAGTTAGCAGAAGGCACTGATAACTGTGCAACACTTCTGGGTGGAAGGAACAAGTATGTGAGACTCTGGGAAGGAAGAGGAAGTAAGCCTGCCCTTGGATCTTCCTGAGCAAGTACGCAGGAGTAGGATTACTGCGTTAGGCCGTAGCCCTGTGTCTCACTTGGCAAGAAATCTGCTAGTTATATGATTTTCTACTTAGGTGTGAACTGTTTGGTTAAGGATAACTGTAGACTTTGGAAAAGGTAGCTTACAAATTCTTATGAACACAGTGTTAGAATTTATGCTTTCTGATATATTAAAGGTATTAGTTTTGTAAGACTTGAGTCAAATACTGATAGATTGGGGCATGTGTGTAATCCTAACACTGGGGAGGCTGATGCAGGAAGATTGCTGTGAGTTCCAGGACAGCTTGGGCTACATAGTGAGTTCAAGGACATCCTGCAGTAGGTAGTCAGACCTTGTAAACAAACAAACAAACAAACAAACAAACAAAAAGAGACTTTTAAGTCAAAGTATGTTTTGTATATATAATGATTCCCATGAATAGAAGAGCCATTAAGATGATCTACTGATTGTTGGGCATGGTGGCATATGCCCATAATCCTGGAGGCTGAGGCCAGAGTATCAGTGGGAGTTCGAGGCCAGCCTGGGCTACAAAGTGAGCTGAAGGCCAACCTAAACTGCATAATGAGACCCTGTCTCAAAAAAGACCAAAAAACAAAACCCACAAAAAACGGTGATACACTGATTGATGGATGAAACAATTGATTTTGGTGCTAGGGATGAGACCCAAACCTCTTGCATGGTAAATGTTTTCTACCACAGTGTTATAGCCCAAGCCCAATTTTGGAGAATGGTTAAGACAAGATATTTTATTTGGGGGAGGGGGGTAGTTATTTTGAGACAGGGTCTTGCTATGTAGTGCAGGCTAGCTTTAAATTCACTCTGTAACTCAGGCTGGTCTCCAACTTGTGGTGATCCTCCTGATTCAGCTTTCTCAGTACTGGGACCACAGATATTTGCCACTGTACCCTGTGAATGGTATTTTTAGTTAGGAATCAATACTCTGCTATTGCAGAAATTCACACAGTGTGGAAGCATAGAAGGAAAAACAGTTTTTCCTTCCTAAGGATTACCACTGTTAACAGCTTCAAGTAAGTTACACATTGGAAGGTGTGAAACACAAACTAACCTATATGATACTTTTTATTCTATTTGCTTATCTTTGATAATTTACAAGACATCAGTGGCAGGGATGTGGCTCAGTGGTAGAGTTCTTGCCTCACATGTACAAGGCCTTGGGTCCACTGCCCTGCACCATACACACACAAAAAGGCATATAGCAGCACACAAGATCTATTTCATTTGACCTGTTGGATTTTTTTTTTTTTTTTGGTGGAACTGGGGATTGAACTCAGGCCCTTGCGCTTGCCAGGGAAGTGTTTATTCTACTGACCCATCTCCCCAGCCTCATGACCTGTTGGATTTTTAAAACTACAACATATATATTGACTTAAATCTTTATTTATTTATTTAAATTTTATTTTGTGTGTATGTGTGTGTGGCCAGCTCAGCCCACCAGGGGTCAGGGCTGGCTGGCATGTGGTGCTAGGGGATTGAACCGCGGTCCCTGTGCTTTGCTAAGCTTGTTCTAAGTAGGTGCTTTAGACCACTGAGCCATCTCACCAGCCCCTATTGACTTAAATCTTTTTTTTTTTTTAATGAAGTTTCTTTTTTTAAAAAAATTATTTATTTATTGTGTGTGTGTGGCCAGCTCAGCCCACCAGGGGCGGGGCAGGCTGACATGTGGTGCTGGGGGATTGAACCAGGGTTCCTGTGCTTTGCCGAGCTTGTTCTTAGTAGGTGCCTTAGACCACTGAGCCACCTCACCAGCCCATAAGGTTTTTTTTTTTTGATCTGAATGCCCTCAGGGGTGGTTTGGCTGGCTGGAGTGTTGTGGGGATCGAACTACAGCAACCTGAGGCTGACAGCTTTGTGGAAGCAGCCACTTAAACAACTGAGCTAAGGCCAGGCCCCCCTATTGACTTAAATCTTAATGCTGGGGTGCTTGCCTGGCAAGCGCAAAGGCCTGAGTAACACAAATTTGAGCCCAACCTGGGTAATTTAGGGCCTCAGAGAGATCCTGTCTCAGTTAGAAAAGGGCTGAGGATGGAGCTCAGTGTGAAGGCTCTCGATTCTGGCCCAGCAGAGTAAGTCCCCAGTTTATAAAGGAGTTACATTCTCTGGGAATTGTTCTTAAATCAGACTCATTTGTTTTTGTTTTTGAATTTTATTTATTTATTTGTTTATTTGTGTGTGTGTGTGTGTGTGTGTGTGTGTGTGTAGCCAGCTCAGCCCACCAGGGGGCGGGGCTGGCTGGCATGTGGTGCTGGGGGATTGAACCGCGGTCCCCGTGCTTTGTTTAGCTTAGCTTGTTCTAAGTAGGTGCTTTAGACCACTGAGCCATCTCACCAGCCCCAAATCAGACTCATTTGTGAGCCTACAAAGTGAGTCTTGTACAGTATACATGCGAAAGTCATAACTGAAATGTTCCCCAGTCAGGGACTTACTGTACTGAAAAAAAGTGGCAAAATATGTCAAGTGCTGGCTCTACGTAAAGTTACTGCTCTCTGTCCATTGCAGCTGTCCAGTCCGCTCGCTGCTATTCCCATGGGTCACATGAGACAGATGAGGAATTTGATGCTCGCTGGGTGACGTACTTCAACAAGCCAGACATAGATGCCTGGGAATTGCGTAAAGGTAACTGAAATGTAAACATATAAGTGGGTTTTTGTGTATAATATGAATTGTTTCCATGACTGTTGAGCAAAAATACTTTGAAAATATATATTGTGTGAACTTTGCAGCTTACAGATAGGAAAGTTCATAGTTCTGTAGTGTTTCCTGTGAAACAGAGTGTTAAAGTGGACCACATTGACATTTTGTGTCACAGTTCTTTGTTGTAGTGCTCTGTCCTTTGTACTATAGGGTACTTATAAGCATTTTTGGCCTTTGCCCACTAGATATACACACATACCCAGACACACACATCTGCAGTTGTGATACCAGAAATAATCTCCCAACATCACCCATTGTCCTCTGGGCAATAAGATTATCCCTCCTCTAAAACTACTGCTGCAGACACAGGGCTTGCTGGATGTCACTCGTGGTCCTGGACCTTCATGTGACCTGCTCCTCTGAGAAATGGAATGGTCTGAGTTTTTATGTTTGTTCTTGGTTGTAAATTGTTTCTCCCTGAGTATTAGTCAGCTAGAATTCGTTTTTTCTAAATTTGCAGGTGTGTATTTGACATGAATAGCACTAATGGTTACTATTCACAAGTAGTAAATATACTTAATTTATCTCAGACCAATAGTTCAGTCTCTATGACTGTGTGCTGGCATTTTTATTCACTTGTATCCTTTGTTGAAGTATTTTAAACAAAGGCAAAAAAGGAGTGCTTTAAACTCCTGCTGGAATGTAATGACTCTTTTGTTGTGGCCCTGGAAATTGTTGCCAGGTAATCTGGAGTAGAAGTAATGAAGAGGCCAGCCATTCTGCATCTCCATTAAGAGACTCTTCTGTTTATGACTGTCATTTTGCACAGGCGTGGAAGTAATTGGGCCCAGTCATTTTCTGGTTGGGTGTTTATAGTCTTTACAATAATATTGCTCTATAATAGCTCCTTAATGTTCTTGTTCGGGCTTCATTAGCTCTCTGTAGGCATTTCCCTGGTTGTTTGAGAATATTTTCTGATAGAATCTGTCTTGAAGCAGCTAAAAATGAACACTGTTAAAAAGTAAAGGGCTGAGAACATAGCTCAGCAGGATAAGCGCCTGCCTGGAAAGCACAAGATCTTGAGTTTGATGCTCATTACCACAGGGAAAAAAAAAGTTAAATACGTAATTTGAAAATGATTCTCTTGAAGAGAAATCTGCTAGTTCTTATGAAAATATTGTGTGCACTTGAGAAAACACTGGAGTTTTAGGGCTGGCCAAATAGCTCACTGGATTAAAGCGCCTGCAAGCAGTTGCAGGGGCCAGGGATTCAACCCCAGGGCCTGCAGGAGTGTGCTGAGACAGCAATTGAGACTGGGCGTGGTTGTGCACACCTGTAATCCCAGCTCTTGGGAGGCTATAAACAGACGGATCACTAGGAGTCCAATCTAGTAGTGACACCCTGAATACCCTGTAGACTCTTCCTTAAAAAAAAAAAAAAAAGCCACTGAAGTTTTTCCCAGCAGTTTGCATGGTGTTCTGTAATTTTCCACAAACTCACTGTAAAAGGGTCATTGTGGTCAGAACAGCTGTGATCTGTAAAGGCAGATTCTCATTTCATGGATAATGGAATACAAGGTGACACATCCATGATTAAGAGCATAGACATCTGCATTTTCCTTTAAATGAGGATAATCCTGTGCCCTGTCCCCTCTTTTTAATTTGACAGGGATGAATACGCTTGTTGGCTATGATCTGGTTCCAGAGCCCAAAATCATTGATGCTGCTTTGCGGGCATGCAGACGGTTAAATGATTTTGCTAGTGCTGTTCGGATCCTAGAGGTGGTTAAGGTGAGTGAAATAACAGTACTGAAATTGTTCTAAAAGTGTAGTCTTTTTGTTGTTGTCATTGTTTGAGGCAGGGTCTCACTGTGTGTTCCAGGCTGGCCTTGAGCTCATGACAATTCTTCTGCCTCAACCACCCAGATACTGGGATTACAGGTGTGCGTCACTATGCTTAGAAGTGTGTGGGTGTGGGTGTGGTTGTGGGTGTGGATGTGTCCTTTTTTTTTAATGTATGTAGTACAGGGTCTACAGGGCCTCACTACACAGATCGGGCTTACAGTGATCCTCTTGTTTTCAGCCTCCCAAGCGCTGGGTTTATAGGTGTATGCCACTATACCCAGTTGTTGGCACAGTGTGCCCTGGGAAAGAGCGGGGCCAGCACAGCATGCTAGGGATCAAAATCCAGCCCCTGCGCCTGCCTAAGCAGGTGCATTAGTCCGCTGAGCCATGTGGCCAGCCCTGTGTTTGTCTTTTTGAGACAGGGTCTTGCTATGTAGTTCAGGTTGGCCTTGAGCTTACTTTGTATGTCTAGGCTGGTCTCAAACTCACATTGATCCTCTTGCCTCAGCCTCCCAAGTGCTGGGATTATAGGACTACACCACCATGGCAGCCATATTCTGCTTTTTGAATTTGTTAAAATAACTAAGTTCTAAGTTCTTAAATATGTAGAAGGATGTTACATTGTAGTTACAGGTTTTCCAAGGCCTTAAATATGCATGAGAGCTGAATGGTTTGGTACACTCCTGTAATCTCAGACATCTGGGGGAGGCTGAGGCAAGAGGATTTGAGTTTGAGGCCAGCCTGGACGATTTAGCAAGATTTTCTTAAAAAATAAAATGGGGGGCTGGGGAGATGGCTTAGTGGAATAAGCGCTTCCCTGGCGAGCACAAAGGCCTGAGTTCAATCCCCAGTTCCGCCAAAAATAAATAAATACATAAATAAATACAATGGACTAGGGAAGTAGCTCAGGTATAGATGGCTTGCCTGGTATGCATAAGGCTCTCATAGACAGTGAACAACAATAAAAAGCAAAGCTATGTTTTTTTTTTTTTT